ATCATGAAAGTATTTAAAGAGTTGAATAATGTAAATCTCGTGAAATTAATGCATTTGTCGTTTCATTTTTTGCAGTGATTTGACAAACTACGTCATAGGTTTAGGTTCACTAATCTTAAACTTTTAACTTTGTCCATATGCTTTAATTGAATTTCGGCCTTGCTTGTTCTAAACTAAATGCTATTTCTTTATATTTACTCTTCTAAAATCTTTAGATGAAACCAGTATAATTTTTTCAGCAGTATTAGTTTTTTTTTACTGTAACAATTCTTTTCACTGCGTAAATCTGAGGGGTTCTCTTCTCTATGTAAGAGTAAAACATATCAGCGACTTTTTAAATTCACTACAGCCACTTATTTTCGTATTTCTGAATTTTAAGGGATTTACATAAATTTTCAAGCCTTTTCACAAAGCCGAGAATTTATGCTTAGATAATCGGTTATCGTTAAAGGTGTGGAATGATTACCGTTAAGAACTTTTTTTTTTTTTTTTTTCTCGCAAGATCGGAATTAAGGGAACAAAGATTCCATCTCTTTAGTTCCTCGCCATCCTTCCCATCCCGAAGGAAAGCCTCCGTATGACCTAAACTCACTAGGTCTATAAACTAGTTAATATGATTAGTGCTTGTGTAAAATTGCAGTCTTCAATTGCTGATTTGCATCAATTGATATATATATTTTTTTTAATTAAAAGTTCACGTTATTCTATACAAACCTGGGCATCTTCTTCTATTAAGGGTAAATTAGATACTTGGAAATGAAGGTAAAATGGGCATAATACAGTGGAGGACAAGATAACAAAGATTAAGCTGCAGCTGCCTTATATTTACTGGTAAATGACAAGATGTCGGCTGCACGTCAAAACCCACGCACAGCCATTTACTTATAATTTTTGCATAAAGTAAAAAGCTTAAGCATAGTTTAGTAACAATTAAAAAAAATTTACTGAAAATTCATAGTTTGGCTGAAGTTGCATAAGTAGCTTATTTTAAGCTTCAACAGTTTTACGTTATTGTATTACTTTTTCAAATGTATTTAGTGTCGGTGACCTCTGAACAGGCAGTAATGTTAGTTCTTCACATGGAAGTGCTTGTCACTAGTACAAGCTAGTTATTTACTACACTAATTATTAACGCACTCGATGAGTAAAATTAATTTTACTCCATATTTTATGCATCCTCTTTTAGTGTTAAATTTACGAAAATTTCAATATTTAACTTCACTCATCACTGATTCCATTTACTAAGCAAATTGCTCTTCGTCAGTGAAGACTTGATTAATGCATTTATATTGTACGTTTTTCTTCGGGCAAAATTCCTGGGTTTACATTTAACCAACTTTGCCGTCGTAGAGTAAGTTTGAATCATTTCTTAAATCGCAAAATGTTTTAAATAATGGTTAATTTTAGCAACCAGTGGGTGTGGGGGGGGGGGGGGATGGACGCCATCTAATGAGCATAATTTGTCTGGAGTGTACAGGGTATAGTAATTTCCAACGAGATCCCACTTGGTGTATAAAACGGTGTACATATTGCTTCGATTTTGTCATGACTGTCCTGTAGGTAATGAATTCTACAAAGATCGGGACATTTACACTTAATAACAAATTCTAAAGTACCGTTTGTCTAAATTCCTAATCTTTCGGAGATGTCCAAAGCCAGATCTGGCACCCTCTTGAAAATTAAGACTGAACCCTTTAAAACAACTTGGTATATCAAGTGTCCCCTGTCAAACTTGTCACCCAATGCTGGCTTGGTATATGTAAATTGTAATTGTAAATTTTTTATCCCAAATTTTTTTCCCACTTTGTAGTGTACAGTAGTATGAAATGTATATATAAACTGATCTTTCCCCAGATGCTCTTGGGAGTCGCGTGTGCAGGGGCTGAAAAGTAAGTAGATAATTCAATGGTGGTATGAAGTATATGCAATATAAAAGAATTAACAAATCTTCCCACATATATTTTTTTTTAATTTCGCAGATTAAAATGTCAAGGAGAGGGTAGGTTCCCCAATCCAAATTTATGTGGAGCATACTATGACTGCACTCCGAACAATGCTGGTGGCTATGATATGGTAAAAGATGATTGCAGAGGCTTCGCATACAATAGTGGGGCTAGACACTGCAGTGAGAAATTGGTAAGTATTGTCCCAAAAATTAATGTATTGTAAAGATGGTTACTGTATATCTACTTTTTAAACCTCGGCTACAAAGGTTAATTTCTTTTCTCTCAGTGCGAAACTCGAATCAAACGCAGTGTTACTTCAGATAATCATCCTTATTCTCGTATGTGCGAGGGCCTGTCTGACGGATTCTTGTGCGCTAACTGCAAGACGGTGGTCGTGTGCGTGAAAGGGCAAGCTTTCATTCGTCACTGCATCGACAATTTCTTCTGTTCGGAGTTGGCCCAGTTTGGTGGCGGTGTTTGCTATCCAGATCATCCTGCGGAATGCAAGTGTGTAAGCCCTAACGACTTCAGGGTGGATCCCTACGACCCTCAAAGGTTCTTCTCTTGCAGGGATGTGGGTTCAAAACCAACTCAATACAGATGCCCAGAGGGTATGGTATTCGATGAAACGGCCAGAGAATGTAGCGCAAATGATTTGCCTCCCTGCAGCACTTCAGGGACTTTTGCGAAGTCTAGCAACTGCAGTGAATACTACACCTGCATTGCTGTGAAAAACGGATGGCTGCAGAAGCACTACATCTGTGGTGCAGGTACAGCGTATAATGCTGTCACTGGTACTTGTGAAAATCCTTGTGTGCTCCTCGAATGCCAGAACGAGGGACGTTTCGCTGACCCTTCAAGCAAACACAATTACTTTGAATGCTACATGTTGGGTGGTAAGTTGAAACAACTGCGTTACACCTGCCCCGAGACCTACAGGTGGGAGGTCCTATCCCCAGGTGTGGGCAAGTGTGTGGAAGACCATGGGAAAGACTTGACTGTTCGCCCCTACGGTGAATGCACAATGCCTAAAGACCTCTGTTGAAGGTCTTGAACAGACCTATTGACGTGCGCATCAACGTTAATTTTAAATACTGTTACGTTATTTTAAATATATATATAAGATATTTGTTAACTTGTCTTTACTTAATCCCCTGCATCTCTTGTTGAGCTTAGAGCTTAATAAGCTACAAACAAGACTGCTTTATAAAACTAATTTTGGTTATATCAGGGTTGTATTGAATCCTGAAATGTAGATGGCAATTAATGGCATAACCTTTGAAGGTCCAAGAGCATGAGGACTTTATCTAAAGTTTGGACATTGACAAACCAATGGGGCTACAATAGCATAATCCACAGGCATTGGCAATAAAGTCTACATAGACTTACAATTTTTACTTTCGCCTACAATTTTAAGGGGGAGGGAGGCTTCTGTTTCATTCTTAAGATATTTATAACCAATGTTAAAGCATCTTGATTATTGCAGAGCAATTAAACTGGTACTAAAATCTATTAAAAAAAAAAAAAAAAAAAAAAACCGGTGAACACAATGCTGTAGTCTTGTTTAAGGTCCAAGAGTTAGATTTGAAGGGCGATAGTTGCAATGCGTCAACAATCGAGTACCTTTTAACCTTTGAAGATTAAAGTTGTGATTGGTAGGTCTAGATAAGGGAATTACAAGGGATTCGTGTGTATCCAGGAGGGAATGGAAACGGAGGGAGAATGTACATGGAATTGAGTAGGGGAATTAGTAGGATGGATATCGGTAGTCCCTTCGAGTGTGGAATTGTCTCAAGCATATAGCTTTATCTTCCATACTTTCTCCAATGGAGTTGCTTCAGCATATAGCTTTAGGAGGGTGTGATGACTCCTGGGGTGGAGTGGAGGTGGAGGGGTAGGAGGGGTGATGACATCCTGGGGGGGGTGGGGGAGGTGGAGGGGGAGGAGTTGATGACATCCTGGGGGGTGGGGTGGAGGGGAGGTAGGAGGGTGTGATGACATCCTGGGGTGGAGGTGGGGGGAGGGGAGGGGTGGACATCCTGGGTGGAGGTGGAGGGGTGGAGGGTGTGATGACATCCTGGGGGTGGAGGTGGAGGGGGTAGGAGGTGTGATGACATCCTGGGGTGGAGGTGGAGGTGGGAGGTAGGAGGGGTGTGATGACATCCTGGGGGTGGGGTGGAGGTGGAGGGGTGGAGGGGTAGAGGGTGTGATGACATCCTGGGGGTGGAGGTGGAGGGTAGGAGGGTGTGATGACATCCTGGGGAGGAGGTGGAGGGGTAGGGGGTGTGATGACATCCTGGGGGTGGAGGTGGAAGGTGTGAGACATCCTGGGGGTGGAGGTGGAGTGTCCTGGGTGTGGGGGCAGGAGGTGGAGTGGAGAGAGGGTGGAATGACATCCTGGGGTGGAGGTGGAGGGGGAGGGTGTGATGACATCCTGGGGGTGGAGTGGAGGGGTAGGAGGGTGTGATGAACATCCTGGAGGTGGAGGTAGGAGGGTGATGACATCCTGGGGGTGGAGGTGGAGGGTAGGAGGGTGATGACATCCTGGGGTGGAGGTGGAGGGGTAGGAGGTGTGATGACATCCTGGGGGTGGAGGTGGAGGGAGGAGGGGTGATGACATCCCTGGGGTGGAGGTGGAGGGCAGGAGGGTGTGATGACATCCTGGGGTGGAGGTGGAGGTGGAGGGGTAGGAGGGTGTGATGACTGGGGGTGGAGGGCCATCCTGGGGGTGGAGGTGGAGGGGTAGGAGGGTGTGATGACATCCTGGGGGTGGAGGTGGAGGTGGAGGAGGAGGGTCCTGATGGAACCCTGGGGGTGGAGGTGGAGGGGCAGGAGGGTGTGATGACATCCTGGGGGTGGAGGTGGAGGGGACAGGGGGGTGTGATGACATCCTGGGGGTGGAGGTGGAGGGGAGGGGGTGTGATGACATCCTGGGGTGGAGGTGGAGGGGCAGGAGGGTGTGATGGGGGGTGGAGGTGGAGGGTGGTGATGACATCCTGGGGTGGAGGTGGAGGGGCAGGAGGGTGTGATGACATCCTGGGGGTGGAGTGGATGGAGGAGGGTGTGATGACATCCTGGGGGTGGAGGTGGAGGGGCAGGAGGGTGTGATGACATCCTGGGTGGAGGTGGAGGGGGTGGGTGATGGGAGGTGGAGGGCAGGAGGTTTGGGGTGATGACATCCTGGGGGTGAGGTGGAGGGGCAGGAGGGTGTGATGACATCCTGGGGATGGAGGTGGAGGGGCAGGAGGAGGGTGTGATGACATCCTGGGGGTGGAGGTCCTGGGGTGGAGTGGAGGGGGGTGTGATGACATCCTGGGGGTGAGGGAGGAGTGTGATGAACATCCTGGGGGTGGAGGTGGAGGGCAGGGGTGTGAGGGGGTGGACATCCTGGGGTGGAGGTGGAGGGGCAGGAGGGTGTGATGACATCCTGGGGGTGGAGGTGGAGGGGCAGGAGGTGATGACATCCTGGGTGGAGGTGGAAGGAGGGTGTGATGACATCCTGGGGGTGGAGGTGGAGGTGGAGGGGCAGGAGGGTGTGATGACATCCTGGGGGTGGAGGTGGAGGGGCAGGAGGTGTGATGGACATCCTGGGGGTGGAGGTGGAGGGCAGGAGGGTGTGATGACATCCTGGGGTGGAGGGTGGAGGGCAGGAGGGTGTATGACTCCTGGGGTGGAGGTGGAGGGGCAGGAGGGTGTGATGACATCCTGGGGGGAGGTGGAGGTGGAGGGCAGGAGGGTGTGATGACATCCTGGGGGTGGAGGGAGCAGGGTGGAGGTGGCAGGAGGGTGTGAATGACCTCCCTGGTGGAGGTGGAGGGGCAGGAGGGTGTGATGACATCCTGGGGTGGAGGGAGGGTAGGGGGTGTGATGACATCCTGGGGGTGGAGGTGTGTGATGGGGGGAGGTGGAGGGGAGGAGGTGTGATGACATCCTGGGGGTGGAGGTGGAGGGGAGGGAGGAGGTGTATGACATCCTGGAGGTGGAGGTGGAGGGGGAGGGCAGGAGTGTGATGACCTCCTGGGGGTGGAGGGTAGGAGGTGTGATGAACATCCTGGGGGGGGAGGTGGAGGGGCAGGAGGGTGTGATGACCTCCTGGGGGGAGGTGGAGGGTAGGAGGGGTGTGATGGACTCCTGGGGTGGAGGTGGAGGTGGAGGAGGAGGTGTGATGACATCCTGGGGTGGAGGTGGTGGGGCAGGAGGGTTGATGTCTGGGTGGAGGTGGGGGAAGGTGTATGACATCTGGGAGTGGAGGTGGAGATGGGCAGGAGGTGTTGTTGAATCCTGGGGGGAGGTGGAGGGGCAGAGGTTTGTGATGATCCTGGGGGTGGAGGAATGGGTAGGAGGTGTGATACATCCTGGGGGTGGAGTGGAGGGAGGCAGGAGGTGTATGACATCCTGGGGGTGGAGGTGGAGGTGGAGGAGGAGGTGTGATGGACTCCTGGGGGTGGAGGTGGAGGGTAGGGGGTGTGTGACATCCTGGGGGGAGGTGGAGGTTAGGAGGGTGTGATGACATCCTGGAGGTGGAGGGGTGGAGGGTAGTGATGACATCCTGGGTGGAGGTGGAGGTAGGGAGGGTGATGACATCCTGGGGGGAGGTGGAGGGGGCAGGAGGGTGTGATGACATCCTGGGGGGAGGTGGAGGTGGAGGGTGTGATGACATCCTGGGTGGAAGGTGGAGGGTTGGAGGGTTGATGAGGGGCAGGTGGAGGGTGGAGGATGCCTCCTGGGGGTGGAGGTGAGGGGTAGGAGGGTGTGATGACATCCTGGGGTGGAGTGGAGGGGCAGGAGGTGTGATGACATCCTGGGGTGGAGGTGGAGGGGTAGGAGGGTGTGATGACATCCTGGGGTGGAGGTGGAGGGGTAGGAGGGTGTGATGACATCCTGGGGGTGGAGTGGAGGGGGCAGGAGGGGTGATGACATCCTGGGGGTGGAGGAGGGGTAGGAGGGTGTGATGACATCCTGGGGTGGAGGTGGAGGGGCAGGAGGGTGTGATGACATCCTGGGGGTGGAGGTGGAGGGCAGGAGGGTGTGATGACATCCTGGGGGTGGAGGTGGAGGGGCAGGAGGGTGTGATGACATCCTGGGGTGGAGGTGGAGGGGAGGGGTGATGACATCCTGGGGGTGGAGGTGGAGGGAGGAGGGGGTGATGACATCCTGGGTGGAGGTGGAGGGTAGGAGGTGTGATGACATCCTGGGGGAGTGGAGGGGGGGAGGTGGTGGAGGGGATGACATCCTGGGGGTGGAGGTGGAGGGGTAGGAGGGTGTGATGACATCCTGGGGGTGGAGGTGGAGGGGGGAGGGTGTGATGACATCCTGGGGGTGGAGGTGGAGGGTAGGAGGGTGTGATGACATCCTGGGGGTGGAGGTGGACATCCTGGGGGTGGAGTGGAGGGGAGGAGGTGTGATGGGGGGTGAGGTGGAGGTGGAGGGGCAGGAGGGTGTGATGACATCCTGGGGGTGGAGGTGGAGGGGCAGGAGGGTGTGATGACATCCTGGGGTGGAGGTGGAGGGGCAGGAGGTGTGATGACATCCTGGGGTGGGGTGGAGGTGGAGGGCAGGAGGGGTGTGATGACATCCTGGGGGTGGGGGTGGAGGGGAGGGAGGATGTGATGACCATCCTGGGGGTGGAGTGGAGGGGGGAGGAGGGCGTGATGACATCCTGGGGGTGGAGGTGGAGGGGCAGGAGGTGTTTGATGCATCCTGGGGTGGGGGTGGAGGTGAGGGGCAGGAGGTGTGATGACATCCTGGGGGTGGGGTGGGGAGGAGGGTGTGATGACCTCCTGGGGGTAGGTGGAGGGGTAGGAGGTGATGACATCCTGGGGGTGGGTGGAGGTGAGGGTAGGGGGTGTGATGACATCCTGGGGTGTGTGTGAGGGTGGAGGTGGAGCAGGAGGGTGTGATGACATCCTGGGGTGGGGTGGAGTGGAGGGGCAGGAGGTGTGATGACATCCTGGGGGTGGAGGGGCAGGAGGGTGTGATGACATCCTGGGGTGGAGGTGGAGGGAGGAGGAGGTGTGATGACATCCTGGGGGTGGAGGTGGAGGAGGAGGGTGTGATGACATCCTGGGGTGTGGAGGAGGTAGAGGGTGTGATGACATCCTGGGGTGGGATGGGAGGGGCAGGAGGGTGTTGATGACCTCCTGGGGGTGGAGGTGGAGGGGCAGGAGGATGACATCCTGGGAGTGGAGGGGCAGGAGGTGTGATGACCTCCTGGGGTGGTTTGATGACATCTGCAGGAGGGTGTGATGACATCCTGGGGGTGGGGTGGAGGTGGAGGGGCAGGAGGGTGTGATGACATCCTGGGGGTGGAGGTGGAGGGGAGGAGGGGGTGATGACATCCTGGGGTGGTGGAGGTGGAGGAGGGCAGGGGTGAGGGTGGGGGAGGACATCCTGGGGGTGAGGTGGAGGGGTGATGACATCCTGGGGTGGAGGTGGAGGCAGGAGGGTGTCCTGGCTCCGGGGGTGGAGGTGGAGGGGCAGGAGGGTGGAGGGGTGGAGGTGGAGGGGCAGGAGGCAGGGGGTGGAGGTGGAGGGGCGCATCCTGAGGTGGAGGGGCAGGAGGTGCGATGACATCCTGGGGGTGGACCGTCAGAGCGAGCAACATTACTAGAGGAGGGAGCACAAGAGACCTTGTCGGCGTGATTGCTGTCTGGTTTCACGCAGTAAAACCATTTATTGTATGTTGCTACCTCACTCAAACTTGTAAGTGGGACAGCCTCTAAGATACATCATAGGGGCCGCCGCAGTTAGCACATGTGCGTGTTTGTGCAGGGCAGTTTTATCGGTTATGACTAGGTTAGGCACATAGGGGGCATCAGTCTTTGGATGGCAAGATGTCCAAAGTGCCAACAGTTTTGAGTGGTGGGGAAGTTATGGTCGAACAGGGAGGGGGTTGTCCACTAATGTAGATACTATAGGGAAGGTCATGTTTATGGAAAATAATTTTGGCAGTGGTGTGTTTGTGTTTTTGATGACCGAGGAGGAATGGCGTAGCTGTGTTATTACACCACTGTCTTTGAGGCAGCCGAGTAAGTATTCTCCACAATCTGACCAATAAATATCCACAAGGATACACAGTTACGGTACAAGTATTAAGAGTTGGATGAGGTTCTGCAGGAATGGGGTTGCCAGAGTGATCAGTTAGATTTGATAATGCTATAGCTTCAGTTTCAGATCCGACTGTTACGAGACGGGAGCGATCGCGTCTGGTATGGAAAGGGACTCTGCCCACTTATATTTGGAGACATTGTTGAAAGAGAAGGATGTTGCCTGAGTAAGGAGCTGTAGAGGGGATCAGCTAAATGGGACAGATTTTTCGTGGGCTAAATAGAGTATTTAGGATATTTATAAGGGTGGTGGCGGTGGTAGGATGGGGACGTGTTGAGGGTGGTTGTATTAGAGATGGAGAATAAGAGAAGACGAGGCGATTGGTGAAGAAAGCTGTGGGGTTGAGATGAAGTTGGGCGAGGTGGCCATGACTTTGGTGGATAATGCACTAGTAGGAACTGAGGAGTGAGTAGTTGGTGTTCAGAGTAGTGATCAAAGGAGAGCCTGGGGTTGGGGAGCCTCATTACCTCGTAATACCCATATTAATCTTCATTACTGGCCATGGGAAACCTTGACTGTGTTAGGGGAAATAAACAGCCCACCCCTCAGGGTCCCCTTGAGGGGTAAGGGATTAGGAGACGGACTGAGGCCCAATGTAGGTGATCACCCCTGCCTTGGATCTCATCCCTCGCCCTAATTTTTTGTCCTTCCTTTTCTCCATGTACATCCTTAGTGTGAGACCGTACTGAGAAGATGGAAGACTGCCTCTGTCAGTCCTGAACGAACTTTGTCGGTGACATTTCCTTTATCCTTCCATCACCAAACCAACCAATAGTTTGACTTTATGGGGGGGGGGGTTCCTTTCAAGGCAGACCCTATTGCTTATATATATACACGGCTAATGACCATCCTGACACGGTAAAAAAAAAAAAAGATCCTTTAATAGAATTTTATCCTAAACTGCAGAATTGGCATAACATGAAGTTCATGCACATGAAACTTTCTCCCTTGTAACAAGGCTTTTTTTAAGCAAATGTTTTGAAACAAGAAAAACTTAGCTAACCCTTTGAAAAATATGCAATGTATGTTCAGTTATTACTGCATAGAACGAGATGCCTTTTTCTGGCATCAGTTGCAGCATTTAAAGTAACATTTTGCACAAATATTTTGCAGTAAAATACATTAATACAAATTTCGGTGGGGTATCAGTTACTATTCAAAAATCCTATTATATGGTAATAAATAAATTTCCACAAAAGGACAGTTATTAAAAGAAACCTCCAGATGAGCGAGCCCTACGAAAGAATTGCTTATTTGAACATTTAAGCCCAGGAACAGGGCCTTCACCTTTAACATGGTGAGTAGAAAAAAATAAGGTGCCACAATTTTGTTTTTTCAGATGTTACTGGCACTGCTAAACAGGCAAGGTTGGGCGCAGGGCAGCTGGGTTGAGGCCAAAAACACTTAAATTCCATTTCGTGGTCGGACAGGGTAGGATAATACAAGTCTCATGGGGGAGGTCATAGCTATGACCGCTAATCTTAAATATTACCAACTCGAGGAAGAATAGTGTAGCACTGCCATGATACAGAATCGTCAAAAAGGCCGGCAAGTCGGATTTGCATTTTTTTCTTTTTTTTTACCTTCCTGGAAAAGGGGTCGTAGGAATTGCAGAGAGGTTTGCAGATACTTTAGGAGGATGAGGAAGGGTGGATGACTGTGGAATGAGGTAGTCCTAGTGGGGAAGACCAGGATGGATAGTAACGAGGGGGAGGGGTTGACAATTTAAGGCGTTTTAAGCAGGGAAAGTTCTTGCCTGAAATCTCAAGCATTTCGCTTGCTTTCGCAAGCGACCTCCGTAGATGGCTAGACTTGCGCTTGCTAAGTCAAGCGGTGTACCGTCACCATGGCAATAGCGTCGGTCGTCTACCGTACTGATCACGATCCTTCGAATGCGGGCGTTGGCCAGGAACTCGGCTTAATATAAATATTTTTTTTCATGGTAAGATCAGATATCTGATTCTGTAATTTTCTTAATTTCAATTTCTTTAAAATCATATTCAACTAAAAACGGAGATAATGGGAATAAAGTGTTGTACTTAAAATTGTTCATCTTATAAATAAACCATTTACCTCATACTGTACTGTTACTCCTCGTCTCTAAATCAAGAATATATCTGCTATTCCATGAAATAAAGAATATTTCAAGTGAAAAAAGTGAGGAATTCTTGCAACATTCTTCTGTTGACATTGTATTCGATGATTTATATTTAACCTAATAAAATCGGGTAGGCCTATATATTAATTCAAGAATGTTCATTTGTTTTGATAATGCGTCAGAATGAAAGGGCTGCCAATCGGAAGTGTCTCATTGTTTTAGAGGCACTTAAAGTGCAATATTTTCTCCTAAAGATGTTTGGGTAGATTTACTCTGCCATCTTGATGCGTCGCTAGCTTGTCAGTTATTTTGAAATGCGCGCCCAAATTGTTAACCAACCGCCAATGGAATAGACTCCACTCCAGATTTATGCATTAGTTCTCTTTCCGGGATTGTTGGTGGGAATACTTGTCTATTGGTTTTAAAACCCAAATATGTATATACTGTGTTATTTTGACATTTCTATGTTCTCCAATGACTTATGATTTGTACTTTATAGAACAGGGCCTGCCTGCTTTGGAAAGCGCTTGAAGCCGGGAACGGTACAGCGCTTGGCCTATCGGCAAGAATTCTTGCTCAAGCGCTCCCCTGCTTAAAACGCTTTTAGATTGCAGTAGATGGAATGTAGACGATTGGGAGAGGAATGGGTGCATTCTCCTCTATCCAGCCAAGTCGGAGTTGCAAGTAAATAACGAGTAAACTAACAGTAGTAAGGGCCGCGGTTAATGTTCAGGTGGAGGTCAGGGAACTACCGAAATCAATTTTATATAATCTGGGTGAAGGGGGGAGAGTTTTGATGCCCTTAGTAAATGGTGAGCCTGTAGTAAAAAGTGGTGGAGAAACCCATGGTCTTCACAAGTACCTTAGTAAGTTTAGAGTAGGAAAATAATTGCAGAATTAGTTTGACCGAGGGCTGAGGTCAAAGTCAGGGGTGATTCCTTCATAGTCAGTGGCAGGCAAGGCGATTTTAGTTTTGCTTATGGTGGTTGGAGATTAAAGGAGTTCCGGTACAATAAATAAGGAAGTGTTTGTGTGAATGATTGAACTACTATCACTGCTCATACCGTTTGGCATAAAATTATCCATTTCTCTACATGCACAAAGCAGTTTCCCCTTTTCTCTACATTTATATATATATATATGGCTATCTTGGTTATTCCTGGTGTTACGTAAACATTTCTTAGTATATTTACTTAAGGATATGGAAATATTAACGAATATTTGCATTTATTAAAGCATGGCACATCGAAGTAGATGCCTGGCCCTAATCCACCGTTGCCATAGGGTAGCCCTTGCAACAGTAACAGCATGCTGACCTGTAAGAAAAAATGGCTAGTATTTTACCTAGAACAAATTCTGCTTTGGTTACCAGTTAACCAAAATTGTGTGTTTACAGGTTCATTACGTTATATAGTCTACAAACACAAACATTACCTACCCTACATTGAGATAATTACTAACCAGGACAAGTCATATGATGTAGCAGTTTATTGGTCCGGTTCCAATATTCTTACAAAATCATCCGAGTCTCAGGTTTCCAACTCGGAAGTCATTATCCCTCACAGGTGCATTCCACAGGTTCATCTGGGTAGCAGATGAACCTGTCAAACTGGGTCAGAAGTTATTCAGAAGTCAAATTCACGCCTTAGTTCCCTGAAAATGAGCCATTTATTAGCAAGTTTCTTCAACCAAGTATAGAAACTTATTCCAACACGAGCATAACTTACACCATTATCTGCAAAAAGGGCACTCCCCTTAGCCCCCGCCCCCAATACCTTACCCATTGTCGTAGGGGGCTAAGGAGAGACTGGTCCTATGTAGTGGAAATCCCAACCCTGGACCTGTGCCCTTGCCTCAACTAATTTTGCTTGGGCTTTTCTCCTTTCCTTTTTCATCCCCGTTTATCCACATCCTTAAGTGGGACGGTCGTGCTGAAAGGATGAAAAATAGGTTAGTCCTGAACTGCTTTAGTAGTGCTGTAGGTAAAGGGTTAAGAGGGAAGATCAGAGTACAAACATTCATAAATTGAGTACTACTTCAATCTCATGGAGCATTTTTATTGCTTAAAGTTCAGAACTAAGCTCTTGTTAAACATTAAAGATGAAGAATTCTATTTAATTGGTGGGGGTTGAAAGTTCATTTATGAAGAATTAGGACTAAATTGGTTTAGCAAATTTCCTAGATCTAAAGTGATACGATAAATGCTTTTTTTTCCATTGTGGCAGATTAGAGTAGCTTAAAATGAAGCTTGAAGTTTTTAAAAGTAAAAATATCAACTGGCAAATTACTAATCATGGGAGTTGCGTATGTTACGTCATGTCACATTTGACTTACAAATTTTACCTGGTAGCCAAAGGTCTGCCAAAATGCGTTTTAAGTCACATGGCACTGTGCAGAAAGGCAGGTTACCAGATTCAAGGTGCGATAGAATTTACAATTAGGTATACAATAATTTAAATCTATCCTGATCTAAAATCACCTGGCAATGTAGTTTGGGAGGAAAACTATACTCCCCTGGTTACCTGCTGGTCTTAACACTCAAGCCTATTAAATCCTTAAAATTCAGAGGAACTAAAAATAAGCACAATAGGAAGACGAACATACAAATCACTGCTTGTATGGACAGGTTATGCCTGAATCATGCATTCCGAATGACTATGCACAGGATTTTCGATTTCCTTGCACCATCAAGAAAAAATAACATTCACCATCCTACCACCAAGGAAAAAAAATCACCATCCCATCAAGAAAAAAATAAAGTCATTACATTCAAGCATTAATTTTGAGGTCTTTATAAAGATTTTATCTTCAGCCATCTGTACCTGTACAAAGCATGGGGAATGGAGAATGGAGTAATTATTAAATGACCGTTTATGACGGTAATTAGATCGGGAAACAGAATCCGTTTCAGGCATAATCAACAAGATAATGCTTTGTTAGACATGGAACAGAAGGGGACACTTTACTGTATGTTTTTTAAATCTAAAGAGCTTATTTCTAATAACCAACCAGGAAAATTTTCAATACATGCTTTGATATTAAATTACTTCATATTAATATTCATATTCAAAATATTAATTCTGTAATCTCCTTGCATGTCAAATTCACTACAAACTTTGACAAGGCTAAAAAACTTGTACGATTGTACGAAGGGGAAACATCCTTATGCTATGAGCTACCTATCATTCAAAGCCCTAGTTGGAGAGTAGACAGCTCTTCTGAAATCTAAGTCTAGGATAATCATTTGCCTTTACCAGCATGGCCGTGGGACTAGGATAGGGGGAAGTGGAAACATTTGAGTAGAATCTAGTAATGACCAGGACTTAAAATAGCCATTAAGTAGATTACATCATCACTTATATCAATTTAAAAACTTTTAAATAGCTGGTTGAATAAATGAAAATGTTTCAGCTAATACAAGCCAATTACAAATTAAAAGCTAATAGCAGTGGTTACAGGTCTCCACACCTAACTTTATTCTTACTGTGCTGTGGCTTGTATTTTCATATTACTTTACATGAAACTTTCATTAGCATTTTAAAATTAATCAACAGTACAAATCTCCGAACTATGCAGATGGCATAAAAGTTAAAAAAAAAAAAAAAAAATCTATTATCTAAGGTGTCTAAACCAAAGTGCTACTGTAAGTTCATAAAAAGCTTGCACAACACTTCCATGCATAGAGATTAAGAGTCCATATAGCTTACCTATGTTTATAGCAGAGGCTGCACTGCTCCAGCTTCTAAAGCAGTGGTTTCCATCCCCATGGTTGCAACCCAAATTAGACAAGGATTTTTCCGATGATCCCCAGAGGATCTGCAAGAAAAAGATTCTACCGTTTAAGACATTGGGACTTCCTAGACAATTACATAAAAAAAAAAAATTATTCTCCGTGACGAGAATGAACCTAGTGATCATTTCCTTAGCAATCACAACCAACAATCTTAATGTGTTAAGGCCTGACAGCAAGGGAGGACATGAAGTATCAGGGAAATTATGGGGTAAAACAGGCCAAAGAGAACAAATGTGTAAAATCAGCACAAAAACCCTTAAAATCCCCTAATGAAACTATGAACGTGTCCTCCATCTTTGAAAGTACGAACCAACATGCTAACCTTATACAGGAACCCAACCCAACTTTCAGTAAAAATCTACTGGAATTCACACCACTTAATACGTCCTGGCTAATAAGCAACCTAATTCCAAGTCAAACTTTATGCAACAATCTAAGTTGCCGTGACTAGGCGTGCCCGAGGGGAGGGTTGATGGGGGGCTCTGGTCTTTCTTAACCTTGGTGTACCACAAGAATAAGGCTGCATCCACACCAGTGACTTGTTGCTTTGAGACATAGGAAAACCTTGTGGGGACAATACACGACGTTCCATTAAAAATATCATGAGATGTATGTGACATGGGCCATGTTACATGTTCAGAGACTTGTCAGCAATAACAGTACTTAGTGAAACTCCACTCCATGTTAGATCTGACATCGCCTCGTCCACACCAGAATGGCTAACATTGCCTAACAAATCCGTACCAACATGTCTATGATGGTCTATAAGTTAGAAATGTTTATCTTGAATTTGTTACAATCACAAATTGTCAGTCTTATGCTCTTACTATGTTTTTTGTCAACAGTCTTAGCCGAGCCTTTCATTATTGAGAAGCCGACAATCGGTTAAATCTCATAGACTCAATTGGAGTTGCTGAATGAAGGAGACAGGCGGCGTCGTAGGTACGCGAGGTGAGTGATGAGATATCGGAGCTGCGGCAAGTGGGTTAGTGGCTAAGATTAGACAGACCCGGACCAGGAGTTCGCGGCTTCCGATGAGTGTAATAGTTTTATGATGCTAGTTGACAGGGTTAGAGATGGAATAAGAGCGGTCTGATGGCTGTAGTGGTGTAAGATGGTGTGAGGATAGTTTGTCGTAATCGTTGTGCCAGAACTTACCATACATCGTGAGCCTGGATCCATACCTCGCCTGGCCTGAAGTGCTTTGCGGCAAGTGTAGAACACAAGAGGCGTGCAGCTTCTTACAACGTTCTCGACAAAGTTTGGACTGCTGCTGTGTGTGGACTCGCTAAGCCAAGTACAGTCGCTGCCCTTCTCGAGTCGTCTGCCGGCAGCTTCGCCGGTTCGGAGGGACACGTCGTGCAGCCAGGCGCTCCGTATGGTGATCGTACTGCGAGACTGGGGCTTGGATGAGTGATTATGGGACATGTAGGCGAGCTAGAAGACGCGTGTGCACGGCAGATTTTGACGATTCGGTCGTTAGATGTGCAAGAGACGGTGATGTTTCAGCAGTTCGGCTTCCTAGGGCTTTCCGTCTATGTATGCAGCGTGGCGTTGATTCATTTGAGCGGTAGCGCGCATTTCATCAGTGAGGGCAGATCGCCATGCTCCCGTCGTCTAATTTAGAGAGCTTATATACGCATGCGGCTTGTACTGTCGTGTGATGCTCTGCACCTCGGACGGATCTAGGCGTTTAGCAGCAAACTTACCTGTTTGGCTTCAGTCTATATCTTTGCTGGGAGAATGCTATTCGTGCTTCTCATGCAGATCACTCTGTCCGCAGTCAACATATGGGGGCTGACTTGACAGGGTCACATCAATAGGGACTGTATAGCAGACGTTTACTTCCCGAAACGGAGGTCTCGATATTCGTTCTAGCAATGATACCAGATCACTGATTTACGGTAGTCCAAAGGATACGGAATCCGTGCACCAACCACCTGAGGAAAGACTAATAGCCTTCTCACCGGTGTTTTGTCAAGTTAATGGCGATCGCGAGATTAAGTACGCTCAGTTGAAAGCACAAATGCACATTAGTTTCTAAAAAAAAATAGCAATAAAACTATCAAAAAACGTAAAAAAAAAAAAAAAAAAAACTTTACTGAAATAAAACAATGCATGCATTAGGAAATACCTACCTGACGTATAACAAAAATAAGTATTCACAAATGCGTAGTATATAATGAACTAGTTGAAAGCCCACAAAGACCAAGTTAAAGCAGTCCGTGTAAACATTTTGTGGGATTGCGTTCACGAAAACAACATGCGGGCATAGAGACATGTATATGCGAGGATTTCGACCCACGAATCTGTTTTGCTGAGTCTATGCATATCTATTAGATCTTAGTCGGCCTGCCATGTTATGCGAAGTGGTGTGTGTAGTCGGCAGATACGTACTGTTGGAGTGTGAAGGCATCTGATTTCGATTCGGAAAATGTCACTAGTAGGCTGGTATCTAATGATCCTCAAGGTAATCATTTCCATACACGTGCGCTCTCCTCGGTAAGTAAACGTAGACGCGGGCGTAGACCGCCCTGAAAGCGCAGTAGGTCATCAGCACGGGATAAATTCCTACCGCCGCAAATGAAATAATCCAGGGAGGCTGACGCTGTACATGTCATCCGAATTTGTTGCATGCCCCGCTGCATAGAGCTGATGTAAATAAACCGAAAATAAGGCACAGTGCTAACAAAATCGACTTCTGGCAGGTATGCGTTGAAAAATTGGCTCTATTAGAATGTTTAAATTTTAAAAATCGCAAGATCAAGTTTTGAGACTAGGGTCAGACCAAGGGACAAGCGATTAATAAATATATTCCAAGGCGCAATATATTACTTCTGCAATGAAATATATGGATTAAAAGCAATGCAGAATTATTATTGATTGGTCAAATGGTGAGATTAAATATGTTAGGTAGTAGTGCTGTTGGTCGAAACCCTGATTGTATCCGACAGGGGGAAGATGACACCTGATATATGCAAACAATTAAGGCGTTTTTGTTTTTCACCGAACGTATGTCAGAGATTGTCCATTGCATCCCTCAATCTTGATTGAGATACTTGAAGAAAGCTGGCGGAGTAAGTATGAAGTATTAGGTCTTATGTGAAAACTAACGACATCACCCGGCCAGTCGGTGATAGAAAGAGAATGCAGTATGACTAGGAGACCAATACGAACAGTCGCTAACACGAGAAATCAGCAACTTCCAGACCCAGATAGAAAACGTCTGACGCAGATGGCGTATACCCCCAATCGTTCGTACGTCAGATGCAAAGCTTTGAGCATGTAGTTGCGTGATAATCTTTTACTGTCACGATGGATCATTATCTTGCCCCCGAGTGAGTATTCCAGATTAATTACTTCCTTTGGTAGCGCGCACGAGAGCAGTGGGCGCTGAAGTTATCAACTCGAGGCCTGAAGGGGATACGTTGATGGCGGGGTTAGGGGGGGGTAAGGTTAGGAGAGCGTCTAGAGAATTGGTTGCTAAGCTTGGCGCCGGCAGCTACAGCGTTCGGTCTTATATCGAGCCTTTGGTGGTCCCGTTCAAGCCACAGTTAGAGCTGTTTGGATAAAGGGAGTATCAGCCGGGTGCGGGGAGAGGCCGCCAGCCGGAGCGGTTGATTAGGGTGATGGCAGCACCCGTTCAGGTATGGAGCGGTACAGTCTGAGTGACGGTGTAAGGGTGTGCTCATTTCTATAGTAATGGCAGTGTGTCAAGCGTGTTATGATGTATGGCATAAGAAAGTTAAGTTTACTACACCCGCCGAGGATCATGAGCCCGAAGGCGGACGTGTAATGAGAGAATCAGGCCGAAAGAGATAATTGATGTTAATATTATGATAGTCAGTATGACGAGATTAATCGAGGCTTAAATAGAGAATTTACGACAGAATTACTGAAAGGATAAAAGTGGTCCCACAGATCAAGTTGTACTATATTAAAATATTCTGTAGTTTTCAATTCTATGCGAGACGTCTACTCTTTACCGACAATTATGTTAACTGGCTGTCTCGTGGCCTGGCCATTAGTAGTTGAACCGCATAATCACCAATGAATAACGTCATCGATTGAAATCGATCAAAATAGTAAGTGTAAATAGAGAGATAAAATTCACAATAGCCCATAAAGGGATATTGCTGGAGAGCACACGGTATCACCGTGGTAGTAGAGAGAGCCGAGTGTCTTACCGGTGGTAAATTAACACTTAATGTTTCGTTTGGGAGTTTATTTCGATGGACTGATAACACAGGTTGTGCCTGGCAATTAGTGGCCCAAGGTTACTTGACGCCTAAATGAATGACTATTAGTTTCTTTCAATCTAAATAGGCAGGTCAAAGTTTCGTCTCCCTTAGGAAAAGGGCGAATATTCTCTATAATGTAGTTGAGTTATGTTTCATCGCGTGAATGACGCTACGAGATTGCTGACGGTTATGCTTGCATATTGTAAAGTCTTTATTGTGATTGAATCTCTGCTAAAAGATTTAGATTGTGTTCTCGTACGTTGATGTCTATTTTTGCGTGTGTTCTTAGTGAAGTTCTGATGGCTAGGAAGTAATATATAGCGACTTATGTTTTATGGGTGGAGTGAATTGCAAGTTGGGGCAATTGTGGTGGGAGGTCCTTTTTCTATGCTAACGGGAGTGAGGTGTATTCAATCTTGTAGCGTTGACCCTTAGGCGGGTCAAACACCACACACCTCCTTCTAATTTTCCTGTGGGCTGTGTCCCACACTTCTATGTTGGGCCTGATTTTATTAGGCATTTGCAGGTCGGTCCACTCACTTTGCCACAGATGGATTTTTGCTTTTATAAGAGACAAAACACCTGAGATCTGTCCGGTCTATGCTAAGGTCCAGATCGTCAGTTGACCCGGCTAGTCGGTCAGCCTGTTCATTGCCATGGATACCAGAGTGGCCTGGCACCCATATCAGCTTGATTGATTTGTTGGCACTATGTAGCTTACGAATGATATTACCCAGCAGTTCATTTTGAGTGGTTAATGATTTAATGGCTTTAAGTGAACTTAATGGAAATCTAAAAAATGACTTATTACCAAA